GTATCATTTTGTGCGTGATGTCATAGAGGAAGGTGATATTTCTCTCTTGAAGGTACACACAAATGAGAACCCAGCAGACATGTTAACCAAAGTGGTAACGGGTAGCAAGTTTCAGCATTGTTTGGACTTGCTTCACATTAGTCCGTGTTGATATGCCCGAGTGGGCATGGCCCTTCGGGGTGAGGTTGAAATGAGGTGAAGAGTATATGAAGGTGGAGGTGAACTATGGAGGCTTGATCTCGAGTTTTGGGTACGTAGGCAACCACGATTTGAATGGTGCAACCGAGTTTGGCAGTTGTTGCTTCTTCTTGTGTTCGTCCAAAATCTAAGGTCTATCAAATGATGTACGAGGTGGAGAATTGTGAGTAGGGATGGCGCCTAGGCGCCCAGTTTCTGCTTGTTTCTGCTTCGGGATGGCGCCTAGGCGCCACTCATGGGTGCCTAGGCGCCCGATTCAGTTCTATTTATATTGCTGTTTTTCCCTTTATTGTTAATCCGATTTTTTGAGAGAAAAATAGAGAGAGCTTTGAGAGAATTTAACAAGTAAGAGGTTGTTCTTCTTAGGTATAAATTCATAGCTATTTTTCTTTCTTGGGGATTAACTTGAGGCCTGTTCAAGTAATCCAAATCTATTGTTCTTCATATATATTGAAAAATTATTTCTTTCCCAATTTCTTATCTTTGAAGTGGTTTGGGATTTTTCACATTGCAAGTTATCTTTCTTGGGCAATCTTGGGAGTGTTGTTTTCCCAACAAAGATAGAACCCCAAGTCTTAACATGGCATCAAAGCCCATTAAATTTCAACGAGCAATTCGATCCGATTAAGACTCAATAAATGGCATATGTAATTCAAGATTTGTTAGCTTAAACGAGCTACCATCTTGCGGGAGCATGTTAAGGGATGAAATTTCACATCGATTAAAGATGAAAATATAGATCAACTTATAAAGGATTGGGCTATTCCTCTTAACAACAATGTTGACCTTTTAAGATGAAACCCCAAATCTTAAATAGGAGGAATCATGACTGAAACATACTCGATCCATGGTTAGTGAAATGAATTCTGCTACAAAACTCGGGATTAAATCCCGATTTTAAATCCAGGGCCAAGGTGGCTACACCTCGGCCCTTGACCGCCCAACACCTCGGCTAGTCAACAGGGCCAATGACAGGCCCTGTTTGAATGGCAAAACTCTAGTGAAATACTTGAACAATGTGCAAAAAATATTATGAATTTGCCTCCTTTAATGGTCATAAAATATTAATTTGATTTTAGTGATTGAAATAAATGACTATGCAACTTAAAAATCCAACTCCTATTGTGAGCCAGGTAATAGTGCAGGGATG